CTTTTTTGGCTGAATTTTTTGTCCCAAGTATGATGTAGCTATGTATTCATTTGATGAAAGATTTTCAATTTCCTTCTTTAACAAAGAATCAGTAATATAACAAATTGATCTTGGCTTACATGATTCAAGATTTGGAAGATCACTATAATTTATGCTAAATTTTCTAATGCTATTAAAATGTAGTTTAAAAAAAATAAAATTTAATGATACCCATTATTACCTTCAATACAATATGGCCTTAACTTAACAAGAGCTAAGTTGGAAATATTAATCTTCAAAAATCCTAGAAATGAAGATATCCAAACAATGAATGTGGCTAGAGGAAATTAGGTTCGTTGAATGATAAAGATTACAAGAAAAAAGTTAATTAGGAAAGCAAAAGGGAATTTTGTGTCTGCAAATTTTAGAATTTAACATTCTCATAACGAGAATTTGAATAAGTAGAGTATCCATGGAAGAAAGCAAAAGTGAAGATTTCACACAAATATTGCCGGTCCATGAAGAAACCTTAATTAATATTAAGTTTTTACACTATTCGGATATTTTGATATGTCCGTAAACATAGCCCGACCTATGGAGCCCAATTAGCTTGTAGGCTTTAAAATCCACTGTAAGATCTAAGGATTTGATCTAAACCGTCCATTATTTCTATATATTTGTACCTATAGAGTATTTGTAGAGTTAGTGTTGCAGTGTCTTTCTCTCTGGGTAGGAAAATTTCTCTCTATATTTTGTGTTTGTGTTTTGTAGCGATATTCCAGTTGATTATAATGAATGTTGTATTATGGTTTTTTTGTGATCTTGCGGTTGTTTCAGGGAAAAGTTTTTGAAGGTATTTCAGTGATATTATGATCCTATTCTGGTGAATGCTTTATGAGAGGTTTCCGGGATGTGGTTGCTTCCAGGAAATGGTTTGTGAGAAGTTTTTTGAGTATTTTTTTTATAGGGCTTATATATTGGGACTCTAGTCATTAATGAAATAAGTGTTTTTTAGTTTACCTTGAACTCATAAATTAATTGAAGCTAATAAAAAAAAATTATATGGTTTTATAAGCCAACATACCTTTCCTTCACCTATTTTAACCTAGAAATAAAGATCTACAGGAGTTCTTGGGCGCTTGCAAAGAGGTGAGGAGAAAGGTACATGAATTTGGTCTTTCAGCCACCACAAGGGAAAAGATATCTAATTAGTATTCATTTGGAGCATGAGAAAGACTTATAGACCACATGCTTTTATTTATTTATTTTTTTTCGGCGTTAAAAAAAATTCTTGAAATGAAGGTGTGTTGAAGCTTAAGCTTTTTTGAAAAAAGTTAATAGATTTACTTTTGTGACAATTGAAAGGCCATATAGTAGAAAGTTGAGCTGAAAAATGCAAAGGATCTAAGGTGTGAGTGATTCATTGTCGTTTTTTTGTTACAAAAACTAGAAAGTGTATTAAAATCTATATTTGGATCCTTTGCAATAATATATATTTTTTTACTTTTTTTTTCATTCGTTTAAATTTTTGTTAATTATTTTTTGAACTCAAGCTCCAACCTTATTTTATAGCTATTTATTTTAGTTCTCACCTAACAATTTTCTTTTTCTAGATATTAGATTTTAGCCCACTTACCCCATATATATATATATATATATATCAATGTATCAATACATATATACAAAACTTGCACTACCCCATTTCCGATAATGGTTTTGTATTTAAGACCTAATTGAGAACATAATTAAAAGGACATTAATTTTTAAATAAGAGTCTTTATACAAATTTTTCGAATGTATGATTTTTTTATAATCACATTTTACGCTTGATGCAAGTATTAATATTCTTCGATACTCAGAATTATTGCTGAAGGGAGAATAATATGTGGTGATCCTAGCTTTGAAGTTAAACATACAGTTTCACAAAAAATCCTCTATAGCCAATAAAGGGATAATATATGCGCTAAATCTGAACCCATGAATCTAAAATAACTTATGTTAGTAATGCTTAGGTCAAATATGTCGAAAAGTAAATAAGTTAAAAACGTTAGACATTTATTTAAAGATAAATATATTATAAAAATCTGGAGGTTATCTACAATGGTATAAAACCATTTACGTGTGTCATACAATATTTCATTTAGATTGTTGGACAATTACAGGTTATAAACTAAAATATGTATATATATTTTCCATATACATTTTCAACCAAAATTAGTTACTTCATGCTACTTTAATAATTATAATTATTATATATTTTTCTGATGAATTAAATTTCTATGTACTAACAAAAAATGTATATGGCAGGGGCTATGTGAATTATCTTCCGAGAAAACATGCCAGCAAAATAATACACTTTTATTAACAATCACAGTTGAAAAGAAATGAAGAATATTTTCTTGACTCCTGTAAAGTAGTGGCGCTATATATTGCTACATATTGATGATACATGCGGTATATATTTCACAGCATATAATGTATACAAGTTTGAATTATTATTATTATTATTATTATTATTATTATTACTATTATTATTAATGCAATATTGACAACGAGGATGTGAGTAGATCTCAATAAACATCAATTCCAGCCCGTCCACACTAACACATGAGTCTTTGTAGTCTCTATACTCTAAACATGTTCGTTACTACTTTGAGGATAATAATATAATAGGTCCATGGAAACTAGAAAATTTATAATTTTTTAAAAGTTAATCACTAGTTAAAAAATGAAATTCATTTTCATATTATTAGCAAATTAATGAAATATATTATATTTTATTTAACAACTTGCTTCATTATTTTAGTCGATTGAATATAAATGAACAAAATTTATATGGGCTAGAATAAGTAAGCTATTTTTTTATTTCAACTGAATTTTGGGACCAACTTTCAAATGTTTCAGAGTTTTTCTTGTAGCCCAAAATAATTATAGCTCACATAAAAAGACTTTTCCCTATTTTCAATTCGAATTTAGAAACCTGGATTAAATAAAAGAAAAAAAAAAAAAAAGGAAACAGTTGTGGGTTTTCTTTCAAGCCCAAAATTGATTTGCAAATACATGAAACCCTAGCCTATATAAATTGGTTTACCCTCTTCTTTCACTTACTCAAATTTGATACAGATCTAGGGTTTGCCGAAATTGTGAAGAAAAAACCAAACGAGTATTTCCTTTGAGGTACAGGTGAGAAGAAAATTATTTTTAATGGTATGGTCTATTCAATTTACAAACAACATAATTTTTAAGATTTTCCTCTAATAATTACATACTTTTCTTTTTCATATCAATTGGAAGATTTTATAATTGAACAAGCTTGTAGTAGAATCGATCGAAGCACACAAAGGGCCGAAACTGACTTTCGTACATTAAATTTTAAAATCTTTTAAATTAAGAAGTATGTTAAATCTATATATGATATCATATGCCATAAATAGAAATTGTATATGCGATATTTATATCCCCGTGTTTCTGCTTCCTCATTCATTTTGTTTTTACCCTTAGAAATGAGTTTCCATATTATGCATTTTTGTGGGGATCTTGTTCCCAAGTTTCATAGGATTTCATTAGCCATAACTAATTCATCGGATTTCAGTTATGATGTATGATAATATAATATATCATAGTGTATATTATTGCAGATCACTGTAGCAATGGAATCAACTGGAGTTCCTTCAACATCGAGGGAGTCTATGGTTTGTCTTGTTCCGGCCTGTCTTTGCTTATTCTTACAAATAATCATGCCAAACATCTCTTACATAAGATTTTAATATTTTTCATAGTGGTTTTCTGATATTTGATATATGTAAGAAATTTATATACAGCTATATACATTTCTCTAATTTCTCGTTTTGTATAACTTCAAACCATGATTATGTTGATTTGTTATTTGGAAATACATTTACCTATTTTGCCATTTATGTTAAGAAATGGTCAAATGTGTTACTATTAATATTTTGTATTGATACCTATGTCAAATTTCCATGTGTTGGAAAAGACTGGAGTCAATATTCCATTCGGAGACTCTTCTAGTTTTCCAATTTAGTTGCCGTATATGTCTTTGTACCCCACACCAGTAATTGAACCTCTGGTATGTAATATTTTCCATATTGTGTTAAAAGAATCATCTATCACTTTAAATTCTTTTTTTCTATTTAATTTCGCTTATAGAATGTGTATGTTCACATTCCATAAAAATATTTGTCCTTTTCTTATAAGAAGAATAAGTATGTGTATCCGACATCCTATTGTTATTTTCGAGAAGAAATCATCAGATAGAAAGTTAAGGAAATAATTTAATATTTAATAAAAATTAAATACTTGGATACGTATTAAACTTGTTATTCTAAATTATAGTACCTTGGTTGAATGAATTATATTGAAAGAAAAGCTATCTAGGCATGCCTTATATTCAATGAAACTACAATAATAGAATAAATTATTGCGTATACCTATTAGCACAAATTTTAACTTACTTTACATTCTAAGTACAATAGCTAGTGACAACAAATAAAATTATATTATATTCAAAATGTAGAATGAAGTGCGTAGACTCAAAATCACTTCATTAAGAAGGTTAACACCAATATAGTCATTGAGTAATTGTAGAAACCTCTCCTCTATGAGTAGAATTTTCATCTATTTTTCACTAAAAAGTCATCTTCCTGATAATTCAATGAAAACACCAACGCTTACACATCTCTTTCATTCCAGTGTTACAATCATGATGTTGAACATTCCTTATAAATTATCAAAATTTATCAACAATAGAAATTTAATTACAGGAGCTACATTTATCTCCGGAGGAAAATACGCATGGTTTATCAACTACCATGATTGAAAAGAGATGGAGAATATTCTTTAGACTTCTCCAACGTAGTGAGCCCTTACATTGCTACATATTGGAGATGCATAAGGTACGTAGGTTACAACATATTAAGTATACAAGTACAAATTATTATTACTATTATTGTTGTTGTTGTTGTCGTTATTGTCGTTATTATTATTGTCTAATGGTACAATAGGTTGAAAGAGGAAAAATTACTAGGTATCAATCAACAATCCATGCACATGAAGTAACGACAACGATTGTAGCCATGAGTGAACATATAACAACAATGCCCATGGTTCTAATATTTAACCACGTCCATCTTCAAAGAAGGAGCATGTTAACCCTACATAAACGTTTAGGGAATTGGATAGTGGAGCAGCGCAACTTTAACAATTCAGAACGCAGGGACAAGGTAGCAAATTTATTGCAATTTTTTACATTAAATTGACATATTATAATCTACGTCATATTTACCCTTGTAGTTGACTCTTGAAAAACTTATTGCAGTATTACATTCATACTACTATGGGGAAAAAGTTCCGATCAATAAATGAAGTCATGACATTTATATTATGCGATGTCTTTGTTGAAGATTTGAAGATGGCATAAGGTAAACCATTAAAAACACTTCAATGATTTTGGCTTATCATTCACTTGATTTTACGATGTAACACTTATTTTGTTTTGATTTTTCAGGTACTAGAATTTCAGAAGGTTGCCGATTTTGGGTTCACTATATCTATATAATTATTGTTAAATAACGATAGCGGTTAAGAAAGGTTTAGGAGAATGTGAATTTTTGTATAACTTATTTATGTCATGTCAATGTTGTTTTTATCAACCTCTCGAATTAGTTCATATTATTATTGTTGCAATGTAAATTAACTAAATGAAATTTGTGTTTGTTTGTTCTGTTTCGATAATTATTTGAAGAGTGATATTACAACTTTGAAATAGTTTTCATTATTATGTATTTTAGTTGACCACATGAGAATCGATCAGGGAAATTTAATTCCAATAATATAAATTTTAAAATCATTCAAATTTTTTTTTGTTTCATCTACATTATTCTTTTCTCCAAACTGTCTTCTTTTTCCACATGCTTCTTTTCATTATGCAATTTCCATAGGTGGAAGTAAAGGACTGTAAAAATGATTAATAACAAAAGAAACCTTAAGTTTATTTCCAAGAATTTTTGAAATTAAATAATTGATTCAACATTTAGATTGAAAGATTACACAATCATCCAATTATAATGCATTATTGTTAGAAAAAAAGTAGTATTCAGTGATGAAACCATAACCAATATAAATAATACATATCCATGAATTTGGTATATATCACTCTCCAATTGAGCGCTTAATTACAAAATCATCTACTCACCCGAGACAGTTACAACATTAACACAACAACATAGTTGATTGGGCATCCATCGCAAAAAAAAAAAAAAAAAAAAGATTCTCTATTCCCAGAGGGCAAACCCTAATGATCTCTACTAAGGAAAAAAGATGGTTATCCATTTCCCCATTTGGGATATGATGAAAAGAGATTGACGAAAAGGTTACTAAAGCTAATTAAAACATAACTTATTTGGCTGAATTTTTTGTCCCAAGTACAATGTAGCTATGCATCCATTTGATGAAACATTTTCAATTTCCTTCTTTAACAAAGAATCAGCAATATAACAAACTGATCTTGGCTTACATGATTTAAGATTTGGAAGATTACTATAATTTCTAATAAATTTTCTAATGCTATTAAAATGGAGTTTAAAAAAATAAAGTTAAAATATACCCACTATTACCTTCAGTACAATATGGCCTTAGCATACCAAGAATTAAGTTGGAAATATTAATCTTCAAAAATCCTAGGAATGAAGTTATCCGAACAATGAATGTGGCTAGAGGAAATTTGGTTCGTTGAATGTTAAAGATTACATGAAAAAAGTTAATTAGGAAAGAGAAAGGGAATTTTGTGTCTGCGAATTTTAGAATTTAACATTCTCATAATTAGAATTTGAATAAGTAGAGTATCCATAGAAGAAAGCAAAAGTGAAGATTTCACCCAAATATTGCCATTCCATGAACAAACCTTAATCAATATTAAGTTTTTACACTATTCGGATATTTTGATATGTACAGCATAGCCCGACCTATGTAGCCCAATTAGCTTGTAGGCTTTAATATCCACCGTACGATCTAAGGCTTTAATATCCACCGTACGATCTAAACCATCCATCACTTCTATATATTTGTACCTATAGAGTAAATGTAGAGTTAGTGTTGCACTATCTTTCTCTTTAGGTAAGAAATTCTCTCTATATTTTGCATTTGTATTTTGCAGCGATATTCTAGTTGTTTTTAATGAATGTTGTACTACGGTTTTTTTTTGTGATCTTGCGGTTGTTTTAGGGATTAAGCTTGTGAAGGTATTTAAGTGATATTATGATCCCATTTTGGTGAACCCTTTATGAGAGGTTTCCGGGATGTGGTTGTTTCCAGGAAACAGTTTGTGAGAAGTTTTTTGAGTATTTTTTATACGGCTTATATATTGGGACTCTAGTCATTAATTAAATAAGTGTTTTTTTGTTTACCTTGAACTCGGAAATTAATTTTAGCTTATAAAAAATGTATGGTTTTATAAACCAACATACCTTTCCTTCACCTATTCTAACCTAGAAATAAAGATCTCACTACCAAAAAACTGTCTATTTGTAGTAGTTTTATGGTCTATAACAATAAATTTGTAGCAAAAAGTGGTTTTGTTATGAAAATTTTCGTGACAAAAAAATTTATATTTGGTCAACTTTTATTTTTATTTGTTTCGCTTATTTCTTTGTAACAAATACAATTATAACGAATATCGTCCTAAATATATTTATTACGTAGGTCAAATCGTAACAAAAGAAGAAATATAATATTTATATATAAAAAAATTATATATATACATCTAAACAAAATTGTTTTAAAAATTTAAAAAAAAACTAAAAAGAAATATGTAAAGGCGTGATAACACTTTCATAAATCAGATATACACACAACATCTCAACACTTTTCATAATTCGATGTTCATTTCTCCCCAAATCGATTGCCATCCCTCCTTAACCCTCATCGAACAATAGCTTCACTGTCGGCCACGGTTCCACCGGCGATGGCGGGCCGTTGTCAGTCCAAAAGATAGTCCAAGGTTTGCCTTTGTGTTTCTTTGGGTACCCAATTGTGTCACATCGCTTCGGTCTCTCCATAGAATTCGAGTGATTCACATCTTGGTTGTGCAACATTTGTTTTCCGTCCACCTGTCGTCAGCTGGTGCCGGCGCCGGCTTATTGTGCCGGTTTGTGGCTCTCCATTTCCTCTGGTCTCCCCCATCATTTTGTAAGTATTGTTGTTAAAATATTTTGCAGAAATCCTAAAGTTTGCTTTTATTGATAATCAAAATAAGGGGCCTATATATAGGCAATCTAAAACAGACTTTATAGACTCAAATCTAAATAATCTAATCTATGAATAAGATCAAATCTAGATATAAATCAACTAAATCTAAAACTAAATATCTAAAATATCTCAACAATATTATAACTCATCTATTCTTTGACACTCCCCCTCAAGCTGAGGAATAGATGTCTTGCATTCCCAACTTGGATACAAGATCATGGAAACTCGAACTGTTCAGCCCCTTTGTAAGAACATCGGCTAATTGTCTCTCTGATGGAACATAGGACATACATACTAACCCTTCTCCAGTTTTTCTTTGATGAAATGTCTATCAATTTCAATATGCTTTGTCCTATCATGTTGTATAGGATTATGAGCTACATTAATAGCTGACTTATTGTCACAGTAAAGCTTCAAAGGTCCCTCCCATTTGACTCTCAAATCATCCAAAATGATCCTCAGCCAAAGTAATTCGCATAATCCTTGAGCAATTGCCCTAAATTCTGATTCTTCTGATGACCTTCGCACTACATTCTGCTTCTTGCTCCTCCATGTCACTAGGTTACCTCCAAGAAAAGTACAATACCCTGCAGTTGATCTTCTATCCACTAGGGGGCAAGCATGGTTAGCATCGGTGTAGGCTCTTAACATCATATTGTAGAAGTTGCCAATTAAAGTGAGCAGTCAATTATAACAAAATTCTTATTGTGTTCATTTTTGCAACTGGAGCAAATGTTTCTTGATAATCCACCCCATAAGTTTGAGTGTATCCTTTGGCTACTAACCTTGCTTTATATATTTCAAGGGATCCATCAGCCTTGTACTTCAATGTAAAAATCCATTTGCAATCAACAATGTTTTTCCATTTGGTTTATCAACGACCTCCCATGTTTTATTCTTCTCTAATGCATTCATCTCTTCTCTCATAGCATCCCTTCATTCCCTTTTTGACAATGCCTCAGACACATTGTGAGGGATGGCAATAGGCGCTTAAAAGAGACATAGTGAGATAGAGGATAGAGTGGTCGTTTAGTGCATTCTCTGGTTTCTTTTGTAACAACAATGGGAAGATCTAGATCAGTAGTTGAATCAGTGGACTGTTCAACAGATTGTGTGTGTAAAGGTGGATCTGATCTTACCGTGATTTCTTTCTCAGAATTTGGATTGGATTCTTGGACTTGTGTCAATTCAGGAACAGTCTTTCTCCTTGAATTGAATGCACAAATTATCTCATCTCATTTCAAGATCTGTTCTTTTGTGCCTTGGTTCGGTAATATATGAGATGAGATGATTGCAGTATATATATATATGATTTATACAGTTTTATTTTATTTCTTTTACAGCATAATCAATTTACTTTTTTAGAAAAAATTCAACATTAAATGCCTTTTTTGGTGTAATTAATGTTTGAATTTTTCAAAAATGTATTTAGGGATGAATAAGTTTTTGTTAAGAAACATAAAAAATTAAATGGTTTTAATATACCTCTGTTTTTTAATTATAACATTAGATAAAAAAAAAAAAATCTAATAGCAGCGTAAGTATTATATTTTTAACATATAAAAGTAGTGAGTATTATGCAATGATCATAATTATTTGAAGGTCTTAATTAATTAATTAATCTTGCTTTACTTGCTATTAGTTTTTGTTAATTTTCCTTTTAAGCATTACATTTTCAGTGAGATTATCAACTTTATGTGCATATCTTGTTTATATATTGCTTTCACTTTAGTGCAAGTGTATTTGTATGCATGCATTTAAAAATTGGTCATTTTATCGGCTAAAATGAATAAAAATTGTCAGTGTCATAATTAGTTGTGTTTAATAGTATTTAATTTTTATTCAATTCTTAGATTCTAATATTTTAAATTTTATTTTACTATTTTAAGATGTTCCTAAAATTTGTTGTAGAAGATGAGTGGCGTTCAAAGGTCTTGGATGTACAATAGAATGTCTAATGGCATTCTCAATGCAAAGTATATTTCCGGAGTTGAGGGTTTTATTCAATATTGTCTCACTAACCCAGACGTCACAAAAATTGATGGGAGGATTAAATGTCCTTGTAAAAGCTGTGAAAACACAAGGTTTCTACCTCCAGGCGACGTACAATTTCATTTGTTGTCGAGGGGGGTTCGTACAATATTATGAGAGGTGGAGTTGTCATGGTGAGCATCATGATGGTAGTGGCACATCGCATGCATCAAATAACTCAACGCGTGATGGAATGAATGATGCTAGAATAGGTAATTACACACAGATGGTGATGGATGTTGTGAGGCCAGAATTTGTTTCCCGAATGGATGATGAAGAGCCAAACGCAGAGGACAAAATATTGTATGATCTTTTGAGTGCTGTAGATAAGGAATTATGGCCAGGTTGTAAGAAAGCAACCTTGCTCTCTACAGTTGCTCGAATGCTTACCATAAAGGTTGACTTCAATTTTCCTGAGAAATGGTTTGATGTGCAATGCCAACTAATGCGTGATATAATGCCGGAGGGAAATTGCTTTGTTAATAACTTTTATGAAACAAGAAGTTGATCGAGGGATTAGGTCTCCACATGGAGAAAATTGATTGCTATCAATTTGGATGTATGTTGTACTAGCGGGATGATGTTGGTCCATATATGCAATTGCAAAATATGTGGAAAGCCCCGATACAAAAAAAAAGAATGGAAAATGCGTACCCATTCATTATATGTTTTATTTTACATTGACACCAAGGCTTAAATGGTTATATATTTCCGCTCAGAAAACTTCTTTAATGCGGTGGCATGCAACTCATCGACATGCTAGTTTGGATGATATGTGTCATCCTTGCGATTCTGCGGCTTGGAAACATTTTGATATAACATATCCTTCATTTGCCTCTGAGACTAGAAATGTGAGTTTGGGACGTTGCACAGATGGGTTCCAACCATTTGGGCAATCTGGGAAACAATATTCATCATGGCCTGTTGTGATTACTCCCTATAATATTCCTCCGAGTATGTGTTTGAAGGACGAGTTTCTATTTCTATCACTTGTTGTACCGGGTGGTGCTAATACGAAACAAAAAATAAATGTATATCTTCAGCCATTGATCGAGGAGTTGAAGAATCTTTGGAATGTTGGTATTGAAACTTGGGATGCTTCAAGTAAACATAATTTTAATATGCGGGCTGCCTTAATATAGATGATTGGTGATCTACCAGCATATGCGATGATGTCCGGATGGGGAACATCGGGGAAAACAGCTTGCCCAGTTTGTCAAGATCAACTTAAATCTTTTTGACTTCCTACTGGTTCTAAAAAGTCTTGGTTTGATACACATCGATAGTTCTTGCCCGAAGATCATCCATATCGACGTGACAAAAAGAAGTTCAAAAAGGAGCTAGTTGATTTCAGGCCGCCGCCTCGTCGGAGAACTGGAGTTAAGCAAATTCATGAACTTGAAAGCCATGGCTTTAGAAAGGTAACATAAATTACATCATAACACCTTCATTTGCATAACTTTCTTAATTTTCATATATTAAAATATATATTTTGATTTGTATAAAGGTAACTGAGAAAGATGCTGATGAAACCGACAAGAAGTTATGTTGTTACTAGTAATGTTTCATCCTATTTTAATTTTAATATCATTAAATGTTTCAGCCTATTCTGGCCACATGGTGTTACTAGTAAATTTTGTAAAGTGTTTCGATCTAACGTGGATAAGGACGGAATCCGTGGAGGAAAGTTCCATCAATCACAAAAGAATGGTATTGGAAAGAATTTAAGGTATGTAGGTATAAGTTTTAAATATAATGTGGTTGTACTTTATTAAGGGATATTAAAGTATTTTCGTCTAACATCAAATATGGAATTATGTTGTTTAGGACTCTTTAGTGGAGGGTCAAGTCAATGAGGAGTTCAATTCCAAGGCTGCCAATGTATATGGTCAGTGGATACATGATATTAAATCTAAACGGGGGAGAAAGCCGGAGGAGCAAATTGATGTGACAATACTAGCTGAGTGGTGGAGAATTCGGTCATCTGATGTTGCAAAACAAAAATCTGATACAACAAAAAAGAATAGGCGTCGTGGGAATATGACTGGTAGTGCTGAGTCAACACACACTGGTGGCTCGCGATCTTTTACGGAATCAGCGCAGAAGCTGGTGTTTCTTTGTTTAGTTATTAACATTGATTAATGTTTTTTAGATTTAATTATTAACTTTTTTATCACTTGCAAATATTCAGGGGGTGAATAAGGTTGGAACCTATAAGTGGGCCCATTCTAAAGGACACAATTGAATCACATTCATTAATGCGAAATCAACAAAAGTAGTTGTGAGTTGATTTCTATTATCGTTTTTATATTTCATTCTAAATAAAAATATGTTATTGTTTAAATTTGTTAGGGAATGGATTATTTATATTGATAGACAAGCTCATTTTGTATTTTTTGTTGTCATGCATTCTTTATTATTATTGTTACAGTCTTTGTAACGCTATCACTGTACTGTCGATTTATTTGTAGTGGACATTTACTGTTATAAAAGAATCGTTACAATAAGTGTCCATCCACTTGTAACGGCTTTTGTTGCGGTAATAATTTCATTACAATAGTTGGTTTTCAGTAACTTATTTAATATTTTTTGTACCAGTATTTGTAACGGCCAATTTTTTGTAACGAAAAAAGTCCCCTTATTTTTCCAATTATAAACTAAAAAAATAGTTTCGGAACCGAAAAACCTGTACGCTATGAGAAAATACGCCCAAATGACATTACAAAATATGGAAATATTACGGAAATTCAGTATCACCATGAATTGTAGCAAGTACGCAATGTGTAGAAACATAAATATTTCGCAATATAGCCTAACATATATGGCAAAGCATAGCAACAAACACACAAAATGTAGCAGAGACAGCAAGTTCAACCAACATAAAGGACTTAGTTAGCATCAATCCACAAACAAAAGTCAATCAGCATAGAACTACGTGCCATGCTGCAACGCCCCATGCAGCGTCAAAGTGGCCGTACACCGTAGTTACGTGCGACAAAATGCCAACATTGTGTTAAATTATATAAGAATTTATTTGTGAGATGGTTAAGTTGTAATCGAATAGAAAATCTTGTAAATGTGATTGCATATATCTTTGAATGTCCAGTCGATTGGCTCGCTGCGGACAACCTCACCGAGTGTTTGTACTCCAGATGTTGTCCGTAGAATAAGCGCAGCCTCCGGAACAGTAGCAGTTGTAACAAAAACCCTTACTATGTCAACAGTGTCACCTACGGACATATGAAGAAAATATGTGCAAATCATCGGTAAGAAAATAAAACTCATGAAATATTTAATCAATATAAAAGATTAAAGATATTAACTAAAACATTATAGATACGTAAGAGAAAAGGTCAGAGATGATCGCCTAATTTAGCCATCCATACAACAACGTAATCAAAATTGTAAAACTTAGATTAGTATAAGTATAATTATAGCATGGATCCTATCTTGATGACATCCGGACCAACATCTGTACACCCCCACAAGTATAAAACAACCAGCAACGTGATCAATTTATTTTATACATGTGAAAGCTGTTTGTTTAAACAACCAACTTAACCATGTACCAATTTAAAAACAACAATTAATTGAGTGTTAATGTATCCAAATACCTAACAAATAAATTAGATCAAAAATCAAAGTGGTTTGGGGAAAAAAAATCAATTTACCCACCATCCTACAAATCTATATTTAATTATAGATTTATATGCTATCCACAAGGTCATACAGAGCAAACAACCACCCGATTACAGTTCTACATAAGTAGCATTGTCACCATATCATGTATTACTATTTTGACTTACTAATAACCATAGAATATGTTTTACTCAAAATGGCTATAACCAAAACCGATTTCATATAGAAAATATAACTAGGTTGACAACAAACCTGGGGTAGGGTCGGATAGCAACACCCCCTCACCAACAACGCGTTTTTCCAAACCACGAGATATGAGAAGAATATGAGACCCGATCTACATGAAAAACGTTATCATATGTCAATCATGTAATCTACATGCATGTTCTCGAAGGTGGTGGTGATGCGTTAGTAGTGGATGTTATTATCTAAAGGGTGATTCAGTTAACAAATACAAATAAAATTAGGAACGAAAAATTACTAACCGTCAACGGGTTAAGGACATCAGTCCCAGGCGTCTCTGACCTTCCATCTGTGCAGCTAGAACACTGCAAGACAGGTGAGTATGAAAACGACATGACTCGCCCCAAATGGTACAATTTAAAACTAACTAATACACGAGATATGCATTCTTACAGGGCCCCGTATCGAGGCACGCAGGGAAGAATTCAACAAAGCAGACATCTCAGCACGAACGGTTCTAATTTCAGACATCTCAGCGTGGGCACTCCTAAATTCAGACATAAATTCCCTAATCTCAACAAGGCCTTTCTGATAATCCTCAGCAAGCTTTCGGAGATCAGGACCATTGGTCCCTCCAGTCATATGACTTTAGGGGTAGGCAGAGCTGGTAGCACTATCAACAGTTGTTTTTCTATTCCTTTTCCCCCCGAGTGCACGGCGGTACAAAGCCTCATGAGCCGCCGGGGTTCTTTTATCAACAGGAATTTTATTAAGTTCATTATTCAAATAAGCCTACACAATATCAAACAAATTAAAACTATGAGGAAGAGACGTACTATAATTCCATTCGACAAAAGGTGAGATAGGTTTGCATACCAAAATATGATCAGTCATCTCATCATCACCACCACGTCCATTCGTGCGAGACGACATCCAAATTTCCAAATTATCAGCCCCTTTCCCGGTTGCCTTTATCTAAGAGTTAGCCAAATAAGAAACCGGTAGTTAACTTAAATGCCACATAAGAAATGGGGAGTCATAGTTGTTGATTAAATTATTGCACAAAGAAGAGAATGAAGGACCTCATCCACCAACGCTGTGAATGGTTTCCGGCCAGTCCTGTGCGGAAACTTTCTTTTGATGGAATTATTGGTATTTCTCCATGCAATATCCTACGAACATCGACCCATATGAATTGTAGTAATATAGGTAGGATGGCATGAGCATAGAAAGATGAAGGAAGAGATGTAATTTGCCTTAACCTTCTCCTCCTTCCAATACTGGACAAGCAACGGCCATTCTTCAGCGACAATCCGATCGGTGGGGACTTTCTTCAATGCTTCATTGCCGTTCTGGTGTGGTGCGAAGTATGTAGACTTCATGATGCATTTTCAATGGTGCCAGACATCCTTCAGGTCACCCATAACACCCTTCTCTGCCGAATCCGGAAGCCCACAATTGTCCTAAGATAATATAAAGTGTTAATATGTAAGCTTGCTCTACTCAAGGAAGCATGTACAGTAAACAGAGGTTTAATATAAGGGTTTCTCATCTTTATTATTTAAAACTTACCCGTATCTCAATCCATGCACCTTGCCGCAACTGTTCGGGAATTGCTTGGAAACTCGAATACCGTAACGGAAGACGCATCCCATTTCTGGCGATGACTCCAACTCCACTTTTGTAATCCTTCGCATCTAGCCCGATGATGCTTCTGCCATCCCTAGCCATAAACACAACCATTGGGATGTCCCCACCCCATCCACGAGGCATCTTAGCCGCTCTCCGGCCCCTCTTAGTTTCTGTCATTGGACCTACGAATATATTTGAATATTTTGTTAGTATTCCTATGCTTCAACACTTACCTTGTTAGTGTGTACTAAAAATCATATATGTTGTAATATGCTACCTTCCGTCTCAGCTGGTTCATCCCTTTGGGTGAGATCATCTTCATCCATTTCCGGAGGTTCTTCATTTTCAGCCACCGGTGCATGGTTTATTCCCAACGTAATGGACCCAGTTGTCTCCATCCCCTGCGTAGGGCCTATCGTATCATCATCAATCACATCGCTGATCACCGTCTGCAATATTTTACTCATGAGATGTCAGGAGTTTCGATGTATCATTGTACCAAGGCAAGGAATTTATTAGGCGTATCTAACAACCAATATTACCTGCTCTGGCTCATGTGAATCCTGCAGTAAAGGGCGTCGAACAGAGGATGCATCTGCCCTTGCTGCTGTCCGAGCATCCCGCTCTCTCTCCCACACTTTTGTAATTGATTTTAAGCGGTCCAAAAGAGGTGAGACATGGGCACCCTTGCGTCTAGTGGTGATCCGTTTAGGACCAACTTGCTTCGACGGATAGGGTGAACTAACCTCCGGATGATTGGTTGTCTTGGGGCTGCTGCGTGCAAAGGCTCTTGTGACCCGTCGGAGTGGTGAACCACCAACCTCTTGCAATACAGATTGCCTTTCACTGTTGGTTCTTGCCATTACCTAAAAGGAAAGAATTCAAATTTTATGTTAGCAACATATATGCAAGAATGTATAAATAAATTACGAACATCATGCTTTCAACGACAAATGTAGGATGATAAGATAACTATTTCGTAGGAACTACAGTTACTAGGCCGAGAATATATTAAGTGTGAATGATTCTATTTACCTTATTTAATTCAAAATCGTCTGCCGTAAGTAAAGACTACTATAGTAATGTTTCCACTTGCCAAGTCCGTTCATCTTTTCCAAAAGTCAAAAAGTATATAAGAACCCAAAAGTGAAGCCAGTTACTACACCGACTCATCTCCGCTAAATCGGAGCCCCATCGGTGTCCTCGTCCAAGGACTCACCAAGGTGGCTTTGTATACCAACGGATACATTCCCTAGCTACTCTCCTTCTATTACGTACCTTCTACGCCCTCTCTCACCCAATAGTCACGAGATTCCCGAGAACAATACCCATCATCTAAGGGGAACCTATTACTGAATCTGTCATCAATCGTCGTGTAAACATCGTAATTATCTCTCTTTACCATTGGCACAACGACGCTCCATGCTCCATCAATTGGATCATCGTGTACCAAACTTGTCTTGCTTGTGTAGCTAGACAGAATGGTTCATTCGTGGGAAGATTTTTTGTGTACATCAAATGCGAGAAGTTTACTAACTTGTACCTAAATTCATCTTCTTTCACGCCCCTCTCTGGGTCCACCCAATCGCATTTGAATAGAAGGTGTTTATTCTCGTTGTTGTACTGCACCTCTACAATGTCGGTCACCATACCGTAATATGCAACGGTGCCTGAACATGGGTGAACTATACAAGTAATGTGATATACTATTGATGCATGAATAACTTACTACAATGCAGCAAGGTTGGATCGACGCTTAGACTTCTGCCGAAAAGTACGTTGTCCCTCAATGGCGGGTATGACACACCTATTCAATTTCAAAGACGCCTCGTGTCATCCATAATGCACATGAGTAGATCGAAGAATCAGCAGAACACTTTATAAAAGCAATAACGAGTAACAGAGAAAACACAAACAATATTATACATATCAATGATGATGGTATATTTAGACTGGGCTTTTGGCAGTTGTTGTGCTTTATCAGCATGGAACATGAACTACAGCAGAATGCACCACTATCTTCTTACACACACACACACATATATATATACATATATACAACAACTTCTAGAAGGTTTGGAGAAGCAACCAATTGATGTGGTCCCCGTTGGAATTAAATTTGGAGGTGGTCTCTAAACCTTATAATCCAAGTAATTCTTCTGGTTGATGTACCCACCCCTCCCCTTTTCTGATTGCAATATTCATTCATACAAACAATACACAGACATATATATAAACTTATATATGTGCTCTGCCTCCACCAACTATATAGTAAATTTTACTTGTAAAAATAAAGTTTATGCTAATCACGTGCTTCAGGAACAACTTGACATGCCATGAACAAATTTCCCACTTAAAAATTCCATTAGAACTAAAAATATTATATCTAGCTGCCCAGTAATGAGTTAAACCTCTAACTTGTAAAAATAGAGGAATAATTTCTTTCTGGAAAAGGCTATTTGTCATCCATAAAGTAAGGCACAAGAGGAATGAATCTAATTATCAAGTAATGTCAAGACGAACCATATAATTACAAAATCTCTCATCATCTATGTAACAAATTAAGCCCTAAATCTAACATTCCGAACAAAAATTAAAAATAGAATTAATCCCATATCCAAACTTACAGGAAAAGCTATTGTTCGCGTTTGAGGACGTCCGCGGGCAGCGGTGGAGCGCGGTCGACGGCCGAAGACAGTGAGGAGGTGCGAGGTTCAGGGGTGTAGGGCGGAGGATAGCCAGTCGGTGAAGAGGAACACAATGAAGAAAACGACGACAAAGAGGAAGAAGACGAACCAGGAGATCGACAAAGGAAAAAGAAGAAAGAAGACGAACGGAGGGGGCTGTGGCGCGTGATTGCTGCTGCTAATTAGGGTTATGGTAGATTTTTATTATTTTTATAATACTTTTATTTTAAAATAAATAATTATTTTAATTTTAATTTGTATATTTTAATATATAAGTGTTATGTATGTATTATATATGACATACATATATATATGTAATTAATATGATATATTATTCTAGATTATTTTAGATTTATTTTGAAATTTTATTATTTTAAAATAAATAATTTTTTTAATTTTAATTTGTATATATTAATATATAAGTATTTAATTTGTATATATTAATATATAAGTATTATGTATGTATTATATATGACATACATATATATGTAAATTAATATGATATATTATTTTAGATTATTTTAGATTTATTTTGAAATTTTATTATTTTTAAATAAGTAATTACCTTAATTTTAATTTGTATATATTAATATATAAGTATTTAATTTGTATATATTAATATGTAAGTATTATGTATGTATTATATATGACATACATATATATGTAAATATGATATATTATTTTAGATTATTTTATAATTATTTTGAAATTTAAAATAAAATTATTGTAATTGTAACGGAAATATACCGCAACAAAAGAATAGGTGTTGACCATACCAAAAATACCATTTGTTACGGTAATATCTGGAACAAAAATTAGCTTTTGTAGCAAGAAAATTGTAGCGACTAAGATTTCGCTACAAATAGCCTTTTTTTGGGTAGTGAGTAATCGTTTATTGATCTTAATATACTTCAAAAGCAGAAAATTTGTTTTGTATTGATTGATTGATTGAGCTCATGATTAAAGGATTAACATAAGGCACTAAAAGTTATAGATCTATTGAAATATTGACTTTAATTCGATTTGGTTGCCTCATTCCTGGCATTTATTGGGGCATGTAAATTTTAGTGTTGAAGTCATATATGCATTGCCACCATATTGTTATTATTGATTGTTGTTGTTATTGTTATTATTATTATTCATTTGTATCAAGTATTTTTATGATTTTGTTTGGAAAACTAACATGGTATTCATCTAAATTATTTTCATGATGAGGTGGATGCTGTTGAAGCACAAATACATCATATGATCCATATAATGTATTCCTCATCATAGTACCCTGTTACAAGAAAAATCGCATTTATGGGTTGGGGTCATTAGGTGTGACTGTTCCTCCTCGACCATCATCCTTCTGCAGCGATGGTCGTACTCCGGGCACATTTATTCTTGAGGAACGATTGACAAAGATGGAGTGTGAGTTGGGTGAGTTGAGGACAGATCTTTCCGAGGGACGTAGTCAATGGGAAGTGTTGCGACAACATGTCACAAATATGGAGAACCAACAACGAGCCATATACGATTTGAACTTGATCATTATGGAGCAATTATGACGTATGTGAGAACCATCCATTCATAGGTCCAAACCCGATTCAGATGGTGGTAGTGCTCTGATATCATGATATTTTATTATTACAAGTTTTTTAGTTACGACCTTAGTTGTTTTGGTATAATATTATGGTAACTTGAATTAGATTTATACATTTTTCCAGATATGTGCTACTTGCGGTACTGATACTAAATACATTGTGTTTTTGGTCTATTGACACTGTTTAAATTTTAAAATTTTATATTATGTCAGTTAGTTCTTGTATCTTGAACGAGATATATTAATCAAATCATTAAATTTTAATGATTATGGAGGATTGAATTAATATTTGTGAGATAGATATTGAAAAAAAAAATAGCGAAGAAATTAGCAATAGTTATATTCTCTCGCAATTTGCTATTCTATTTGCAACGGATCTTGCAACATATATATTTTTTTAAAATGCGTTGCAAAAACTTGCAAAAGAATTAGCAACAGATCTTTTTCATTACATTGCACTATGATAACAATATATTTATGTAGTAAAATTCCGTAACAAAAAATTGCGACATAAATGACGGTCACTAATTCTATTACAATTTTCTGCAACGGAATTAATTGTCTCATTGGATTACTACAATAATATTTACTACAACTTCCACTTGGTCACAAATTCCGTTGTAATTGAAAGTTTTGGCAGAAATTTTGTCAGTTGTGACAGAATTTTTCCGTAGTAATTTGTAATTTTTTTTTGTAGTGATCGCTCATTATATATATCATAACTCGGACATCTATTTCAAACGCATATCCCATTTTTGCGCAGCAAAATTATGAAAATCTACGAGAAGCGACTGGGCGTATTGTATGTGTGAATTGTCATTTAGCTAATAAGCCCGTGGATATTGAGGTTCCACAAGCGGTACTTCCTTATATTGTATTTGAAGCAATTGTTTGAATTCCTTATAATAATCAAGTGAAAAAAAGTTCTTGCTAATGGTAAGAGGGGGGTTTGAATGTGGGGTTTGTTCTTATATTACCGAAGGGATTTGAATTAGCTCCTTCTGATTGTATTTCTCCCGAGATTAAAGAAAAGATAGGCAATATATCTTTTCAGAGCTATCGCCCTAATAAAAAAAATATTCTTGTGATAGGGTTTGTCCCCGATTAGAAATATA